ATGTTAGAATCTGCTGATTTACCGTATGCTCCTACATCAACAGTAGTGAAACAATAATTTGCGTCAACTACACCAAGTAACACAATAGAACAATAAAGTTTATAATTAAAAAACTTTGTTCCAGAATGTTCGGGTTTAACTAATCTTACATGTTTCCCGTCAATGTCTCCAAGACAGTTTGGAAAGTAAGCACGGTTTTCAAAATTTTCGGCGATTTTTATCCAATCTTCTCTGGTTGGTTCTGGCATAAATGTATCTTTCATAACAGTCCATATCTCTCGACACATTTCCCAAACTATTGCAGAAATTGTGCTTCTTCCCAGACGAAATTCAAATGATAATGATCTAAATGTATTTCCAGTGGCAAGGAATCTGTAGATAAAATATAATATGTCATTTTGTCCCCTGCATTGGGCAATACGGGATCGCTCCCTTGTTGACTAATGTAGGAGTCATAGGGTTAGCTGAACAGACGACAGCAGTTGTGCTATCTAACTGAAAGTCGCCCTGTGATCTAATACATCTAATATTAAAATTACCTTTTTAGTAAAAGAGCTTCAAAGAAAATGGAAGTCGATACGGGATGCCTTTACAAGAGAAGTACGTTTACAAAAACTGTCCAGTGGAAGTGGAAAGCGAACAAGGAAACGCTACATATATTTCGATCAATTGCTGTTTTTGCTTGATACTTTGGAAGAACGGCCGTAAGTGTTTAATGGTAAAATTCAGAGCATGCCTGGATTGGAAAACAGTGTAACTCACATTTCATGACTCCTTTAGTAGTATGATGATTCTCACCAAATATACAATATGGGAGTCATGAAAAGTGAGACACACTGAATAAGTTATGTTTGGAAATTCTACCTCATGCCTATTGAATGTTATTTTCAGGACCCTTATAAAACGTCAATACTGAGGGGATAGACAGTGGTGATGAAACGCAAATTGAAGAGCATGACTCTGCAGACACGATATCCGTGACAGGTGATGTAGCTAAGCAGACATCACGTAGTCAGAATCTGGTGCCAATTCGACGAAGTGTTAAACGAAATGCCAACACTTCTGAGCAAGAAGTTCTTCAGCACATTAAGTCCGTAAAACCTAATGAGAAAAATGATGACGAGTTATTTCTGTTATCCCTTTTACCCATGTTCAAGAAGCTGGATGATCGTACAAAACTATGGGCCCGCATGAAATTCATGGAAACGATGCACCAAGCGATCGATTTTGCAAGACCCATGCAATCGCCATCAATATCCAATGCGAGTAACATTTCTGCACATCCCACATTTAGTAATAACCCTCCTGCACTCCACCCTTCAAGCACTAATCATGCACATCTCCTATTAGGTAATATTATTCCTAGCACCACACAAATGACTAATAATAGTCCTGGATATCTGCCGTTTGTCCAAAATAATCCTACCTATCACCCATGGACTAATAATATTTCTACGTCATATCCCCAACAAAATAATACTAAGGTAACCCAACCTTCACCATCTACGAGCCAATCTTCTGCAGCTGAACCACCAGCAGAATCTCCCACATACACAGATTTGTCATCACAGCAGTCGCACGACTCTTCCATTTTCGACAATTATTAGTGATTTTTTGTTATATACTTCTTTTATAATGTATAAACTTAACTATAACAATTTATTATAAATAAATTGACTTACCTTAACGTTACTGCAAGCCTCTCTTCAACTACACTAGCGTTATTAAATCTTGTTGTTTTTCTCTGTGAACCTTCTTTTACATGAGAACAAAGTTCATCAAATGAAGACATACTCATTCTGAAGTATGCAAAAACCTTTCTTCGTGGTTTCTGAGCATATGAAATAATGTGTGGAACTGCCCAGATGTAAGTCTCAGTGCGTTAACTGGATGAATAGCATATTTTCTTTTTCTCCGCTTTTTCCGTAAATACCTCGAGACTATAATTGCCAACAGTACATTATCTTCCATGGTTTCATCCGAAGTGAAGTAGAAAAACGCTAATAAGCGTGGCCATGTGCGATTTATTTACATCACTGCGACCTGGTCGGAACGTTCGTGTCGCAGCGACCAGGACGCATGCATGGCCGTCCACTTGAGATATACATGTTTAGTTCGCGCGACCTCTTGTAGAGGGCGCATCAGTAGATCTGTGTATTACTCTTATACAGTGTGTGATATTATACCAATTATATAGAACCCATATAGTTCCGCGTATTTAACGAAGCCCGAAAATTTGGCAGCAATGCAGGATGCACGACGTATGATGCATTTTCACCATTTTGAGAATAACTTACGACGAAGACAGACGGGCATCTTATCGGCGACTGTTTTCCATTTGCTATATCAGTGAGTGATTTATATAGTTGAAGACAATGTCGATAAGGAGGAGCCAAAAAATAATAGATATGGTTTCTGTTGCAAGTAAGTTTGATGCTTCATTATCCCAAGTTATTATTTGGTTTCCTAACCTCGTAATTGAGATACCATCTATTTAATTGAATAATAATCAACTGACCTCTTGATCGTAAAATATTAACTTTCATTCATGATGTTTTTGTCAAAATTGAATAAGGCCTTGTGAGGCACTTTAACTCGTGTGTAATCTTCAGGACTGGATATTTTTGCAGGTCAAATTGAAATTCGAAATTGGAATCTGAGGCTCTTTGGGGTCAAAAATGATGATTATTTCGTCTGAATTAGGAAATGGCAGATCCAAATGGCGGACAAGTTTTCAAATTAAGATCCGATTCTATTCAAAATTGGTATGTGGAGGTTTTGAGATCGAAAATTATGATTCTTTCGTTAAGATTGAGAAATTCAAGATGAACGGATTCAATATGGCTGAAGAGTTTTGTAATAATGCTCTGATTCTATTCTAAATTGGAATCCGAGGGTTTTTAGGATCGAACATTATGAATCTTTTGTCAGAATTAGAAAACTGAAGATGGCGGATCGAATATGGCGGACGAATTTCGTAATTATGTTCCGATTCTATTCAAAACTGGTATCTGGGGGTTTTCTGGGTCGGAAATTATGATTCTTTCATCAAACTTGGGGAATTCAAGATGGCGGATCCAATATGGCAGACAAGTATTGTAATTATGATCAGATTCAAATCAAAATTGTTATCTAGGCGTCTTCGGTATCGAAGTTGATAATTGTTTCGTCAAAATTAGAAAATTCAGGATGGCGAATCCAATATGGCAAAATAGATAGACTCTATTCAAAATTCGAATCTGAAGGTTTTTGGGGTCAAAAATTATGATTGCTTCATGACAATTGGGAAAATTCAAGATGACGGATCGAATATGGCAGACGAATTTCCTAATTATGATCCGACTCTATTTAAAATTGGTATCTGGGGGTTTTCGGTGTCAAAAATCATGATTCATTCATCAAAATTGGGGAAATCAAGATGGCGGATCCAATATGGCGTACGAGTTTTGTATTTATGTTCCTATTCTATTCAAAATTGGTATTGCGGTCGAAGCTTATGATTCTCCCGTCAAAATTGGGAAATTCAGGTTGGCAGATCCATGTTATATCGGAAATTCATAATTATGATCTGATTCCATTCAAAATTGTTATCTGGTCGTTTTTGGGGTCAGAGTTTTGTAATTATGATCCGATTCGATTCGAAATTGGTATCTAAGGGTTTTTGGGGTCTGAGATTATGATTATTTCGTCAAAGTTGGGGAACTGAAGATGTCGGATCTAAAATGGCGGACGTGTTATGTAATTACAATCCATTCCTATTCAAAATTGGTATCTGAAGTTTTTTGGGGTCAGAGATTATAAGTCTTTTGTCCAAATTAGTTAATTCAAGGAAGTGGATCCAATATGGCGGACGAGTTATGTAATTATATGAAACATGCTCATGTAGTGTGCCAAAGTAAGAAACAGATAATAACTAGTGGTTTGAAATACTGAAGTATCACATTTTCATAGATTGTCGAACCAAAAAGAGGTAGATAATTGAAAGTAGTTTGAAAACCTGAAGAAACAGGCTCTTGTATATAGCCAAACTGAAGAGTCATATAGAAAATGAATAGTAGTTTGACAAACTAATCTAATTCGATCAAAATAACAGAACTCGTTCGTCATTTTGGATCAGCCATTTGAATAGAATCAGATTATATCATATCTCATTTTCTACTACACCCATCCCCACTCATTTGATTTTCTTGAAAATTAGCATGCGTATATGTCGATTATGAGATTGACAAAAAACTATCACTGCAGTTTCTGAAGATGAGATTTTTCCTATTTCAAATGCAAATTTGAAAAATTGAAATGAGACTTTCAAGATTAGAACAATTCTGATTTCTACGCAGGTCCAGGTCCTGAGGTGACTGAAAAAAAAGCGACCCTACAACCGACAGATCGCGATATTGAATCAAAATATGATTCCGAATCAGAACTTGACTCTGAACAGGAACGAATTGCAAATGAGATGGATGAATGGATCAATTTCGAAAGTTCTGTCTCTGAATATATCCCGCCGTCATCGTCTGAGCAATCCAGCTGGGAGTTTTGCCAGTTCAATTTCAAGCAATGACAATACCTTCAGTAGTGCTACCTTCAGTAGTGATACCTTCAGTAGTGCTACCTTCAGTAGTTTCATTGCCCATAGCACCATCTCCAGTAGTACCACTCTCAGCTGTACCACATTCAGTATTGGCAAGTATCCTCTGGCGTATAAGCCATATTTGTACTTCTACTAATTACTTTCAATGTAGGATTATAAATCACACTATAAGAAGGAAGATTCAGCAAGGGAGAGTCCCACCATATGCCCAATATGCTTCGTGGACGTTCCGACTCATTTTATCAGACACCTTATCAGACATCATAGCATTCACAAAGAAGTTGTTGCAATTGAAAAGTTGAAACCAAAGAGTAAAGAGAGATTAGCCCTCCTGAGTTCATTACGAAAACAAGGTTAATTTTATTTGAAAACAGGGAAAAATGTTCTCCAGCCATTTATGGCGCTCGTTATGTCCAAGAATAATGATTTTTTGAAATCATCTAGATTAAAAGAAGAAGTATTCAACATAATGTGTCCCGACGATATAAGTTTAACGGCTAAAAATTACCCATTAGTATGTTTATATGCGGAAGCCTTGTTGAATAAGCATAAGAGGAAACAAATTGCGAATGTGCTCTCAAATAAAATGAGGGAGATGGGCAGATTGATGAAGGCCCTGAAAACAATAGACGGTGGAATCACGGGATTATTTGATGCACTGAAACCTGAGAATTTTCAATCATTCATATCAACCACAAAGATCATTAGTGGTTCTAAGGCCAATGACAAGAGTTTTGATGCACCATTACTTGCTCCGCATATGGAAACTGACTTAAAATTTGTATGCAATAGCGCACTGAAAAATGTTCTCGAAAATAGGCAACTTCCTCATATCCAATGGACGGATAGACAAAAAACAAAAAATGACATCAAAGACTTGAAAAAACTAATTAAAGGGCACTGGTGCACTGAAATATCAAGTTTGGCGCTGAAAGCCCTGAAAGAAAAACACTGGGAGAAGCCCGTTCAATTACCTTCGAATAGCGACATACAGATATTCAAAACATACGTCAACAATCTTGCAGAAAATGCATATCATGAGCTTAGAAATAATCTCAATCTAATAAAGAATTATAAAATTCTTACTGAGTGTGTTTTGGCAGAAACTCTGATGTTCAATCGCAAACGAGTTGGTGAAATTCAGTATCTATTGATCGATAATTATAATAGGACCACGGAAAATGTTAATCAGGAATCCTTCATGGATTCCCTTACCAAGGTGGAACAGTTAATTAGCAAGAGATTCAAAAGAGTGGTCGCTGGTGGAAAAGGATTTAAACCAGTTCCCATTCTATTCTCCAAAAGAGTTCAGCAATATGTTGATTGCATCTTGAGAGTAAGGAGTGAGTTTGAAATTGTGCCGAAGTCGAATCCTTATCTTTTCGCCAACCCTGATTCTGAAGACCGATGGATGTCGGGGGCCAGCGTTATAAGAAAGTTTGCACAGAGATGTAGTGCCAAGGAGCCATCTCTCCTAACATCAACAATATTCTGGAAGCACATTGCAACCACCCTCCAATTGATGAGTATGGAAAATTACGAAATGGAGCAAATTGCGACATTCATGGGTCATACGAAAAAGACCCATATGGAATTTTATAGGTACGATAATGAATCATTAATTTGTTACTTTTTTATATTTCAATCCTATGAACGTTTCGAAGAGTTCTACTCTTTGCAACTCCGCTAATTTATATCACAGGTCACAATCATGAATTATTTCCGTTGTGTTCGATAATAGAGATATTATCAATACTGAAGACTGAGACTCAGGCATACCATTCATTACATAAATTCAATCGTTTTCGGCGCTAGGCCATCATCAGGAGAGAGTATCTGACAAGTGAATGTATTTACAAAAATTATGAATGTGATCACAAATGTGTAAGGTTCAGAATGTTCCTTAGTTTTAGAAAAGTGAAATTGGGAACTCACTTGCCAAATAGTCCTATACTGAAGATTCGCATTGGAAATATTGTGATTTTGACAAATTATCAGGGATAATACCATGAGTGCTTACAATACTATCGATATTATTCCTGTCAGAAATCTACGAGATCCAATTGCTTAGTAACACCACAAGTCCACAGGAGTTCAAGATATCTGATAGAATTTTCGATAGTGTTGTGAGCACGAGTTGTCTTCATTCATATAATTTTACGACCTGATGAAACTATAATCTGCATGTCATACCAGGTGACAACATGTTGTTCTATTCAGATTCGTGGTTGCCGTGACCACGTGGTATCTAACTGATGCATGTCTTCATCAATATCTATTTCAGGCTTCCGCAAGATATCTATCAGACGGCAAAAGAGTTTACTCCTATTGGAGAAAGGAAAAAAAAAGGAATTCAAAGGGAAAAGTTTGGGAGACATAGAACTAGATGCAGACGTATACTACACTACAGGATCAGAAAATGAGAACGAAGGCAGTGATGATGGGCAGCATCTTTCTGAAAGAATATTGAAAAAAGTTGGAAAGAGACCGAGACACACTGGTGGAACTACTGACGAAGTTCAGTCAAAATCAGGACCAAACTTCGATAGTACTGCAGACGAACAGGATCAACCACCGTACAAGGAAAACTGTATGTATCTGTGTTTCACAGTTCTTCATGTTTTTTTGATTTAATCAAATTTACAGTGAAAAAACAAGAACAAGTTTACACCAGTCACATTCACAGAAGATTATCGAATGTAGTTCAGACGAGGAGGGATATTCAGCCGCCCAAGATAAATGTACGTAATAAGTAATTCAAGATGATTTGCTAGCTACAATATTATTACCTTTTCAGTAAAAAAGCCTAAAACAATTGGTAGAATGCGATGGTCTGAAACAGAGAAGAAATTGGTTATACATCATTCCAAGGAGCATATCAGAAAAAAAATTGCACCTAAAAAACATGAATGTAACGAATTTCTTGCATTCCATAAGGAAACATTTGTGGATAAAAACTAGGTACGAGTTAAAACATTCGTTTACAATTGTTACCGACAAAAGCAGTGAAGATAAGCAGGACAGTTCTGTTGTTTTTTCATTCTTTTTCTTCCTTATTCTTCAGTTCCTAATAAACTGTGTTAACGTCATTCATTGACGCATTTTCAGTGACTTGAAAAGCGTGTTGAGGAATTTTGCTTTTGTGTTCTACTCCATTATTGTTTGGAGAAGAATATATCGAGGTACCAAGCTGAAGTTTATGAGTAGGAACCAAATGAAGAACATCAGTATATAGATGTGATTTGAGAATAAAATACAGAAATATCAAACATTGAAAAGATCTGTGTCTCACTCTTAAAATTTTTATTAATATTCATTCATCGAAGTAACACTGTAAAAAATACAGTAATCAATGATGAAAATCACCAACAACACTCACAATGAACAGAATTTCAAAGTAAATGTTCGACTAAAGTTATTGAGAAATTTTAAAATATTTTTCCCTAAACTAGCTACGTTTTCATGAATAATGCTGAAATGAATGTTATATTTTGTTATTCACTATTCAGAGATCCTCATCCTTAATGGATCACCCTATATGATCTATTTGTACTCTGCTTCGAAATTTCCAAAGTATTCATCAGAAATATCAATATGAGCATGTACTTATTTCCCCTTGAGTTCATCAGGTACAACTTCTTCTCATCCAATATCACTATCAGAGCTGCATGCAATCTTCTTTACTCTCCTAGCTTCTCCTTCCTGAAAAGTCAAATGAAATTACAAATGAGATAATGGGAAATATTTACTCACACCTACCTGGGGTAAATAAGTAATCATTCGTTTCTCAAGAGACATCCAGTCATCTCTCCACCTCAACTATGTCCATCATACAGTTTCTTAGTTATGGCCTATCAGCTGGGGAAACGAATCCAATTATGGAATTTCCAGCTAACGTTTGCAGACACCAGTTGACAACAGCGCAGTGGCTCGGTTAGAACTTCGAAACATATTTCTTTATACAATTGGGCTTTGTATAATCAATTGTATATCTGGATGCTCGTAAAGTCGTTCGCATATATTTCCCAAACGTATATCTTATACACTTCCCCACCTTTTCCCACAACCCGGATTTGGAAGTATCTGGTTCTCAGGTCATTTCCTGTCTATATAGGGCTATTGACAGTATTGACCCAAAATTACTGACCTACTTTTTGTGTCGCTGGTTTTTCATTACCTGAAAATCTTCACGAAGACAAGTGATTTTAATAATGGTTTTGTTGTAAAATGTTCGGTACTTATTTTAAATTTCACTATTTTGTTTTTGATGCACAGAAGAGGGCTCTCTCGCAAAATTCGGGTATTTTTAATCGAAATATCTGGTTCTCAGATACCTTTCTGTTTATTTAGGGCTATTGACAGTATTGACCCAAAATTACTGACCTATATTTTGTGTTGCTGGTTTTTCACTACCTAAAAATCTTCACGGAGACAAGTGATTTTAATAATGGTTTTGTTGCAAATATGTTCGTTACTTATTTCAAATTTCACTATTTTGTATTTGATGCACAGAAGAGGGCTCTCTCGCGAACTTCGGGTAGGTTTAATCACTGGGTTCTGTTTCAAGGAAGTTACTCCACGTATAGAGGTTTATTTTCGTGTGTTCTGAAATGCACTTCGTCATAAGAAAGAAGGATTTGATGTATAATCACCTTCAATGACATAGTTAACTGGCAAAAAGGCAACGCCATAGGAAAAAGAGAAAATAATCTTCGTCTCATCGATAAAATAGGCCATGTGAAACGAAGATCAACCTTGTAAAATCCCGGTTAGGAAGTTTTGCTCGATCAACTACTGGGTGTCAGAAGACTTTGTCGATTGAAGGTATACATCACACTTCTGATGGCTTCATGTCAGTACCTCGTACGTGTGGCATTGTAATAGGATGTCGATCACAGTGCCGTCCTGAAGGTATCTACTCGACACTGGGCTTAGTGTGGGGTCATTTGAGGAGTACCCACTTGATATACCTGGATAGATTTACGAATCTCAGTAGCCAGCCTTTACCAAACCAACGAGACGACCCTGGTATTTGCAAGCCTATGTGGCAATGCATACGTTATGCTGCTAGAGGATATGTAACATATCGTGCCGGCTTTCATTCCTAGAGACGTAGCATACGACTTTTCCTCATCCTTCAACTAACGAGAAAAACAGGTTCTGCACCACGACAACTCGATAGTATTCATACAATGAGAACAAGTTTCGATACACTACAACTCGATAGTAGTCATACTAGAAAAACAGGTTTTGTACCACTATAACTTGTAACATAATGTTGTTGGTGCGCCGGATCTCAGGCAGAGGGGGGCCGAGTTTAAGAAAAGGAGAGCTTTGTTCGGGGACAGATGTGATGTTTCATTAGCGATTTGATGAATACTACAAAGCAAACAAAAAATGTTCCTATTAGCGCCAGAACTTGAGGAAGCAGATTTAGGGACGAAATTCGAGTATGAAAATATAACTCCCCTACAAAGCAGGTATATGCCACTGAAATATTCAATAAGATATATTGGGTACACTGAACCACAGGCTAAGTTATATCACAAAACACTGAAGACAAAAGCTGAGCGATTCTCGAGCAAAAACTCTTGTACGATTTCGATAGATGAATGAAAATGAAAACAGACATGGCGAGACATCTGTGCGTACGTATAGTTGATACTTTCAATAGAGTACAGGTATCTGTTAATATCTTTGTTACAACCGCTCCCCATTCAAGATGAGGATTCATTATTTGTGAAGCTTAACTCAAAACATTGCCTCAAGTGGCTGACGTGGAAAGAACCGCGCACTTTATCAGTATCAGGGTAGGTGAGTATATACGTAGCACTACTGATACGCTTCTCATTTGAAATTGCTACAAAATAATTTTTAGTATCGTTTGCATGAAAATTCAAGCGAATTTGCTTTAGTGCAACATTTGGAGTTGCAAAGAATCATTTTCATTTTTTTGTTTCAAACATTACCATTTTGTAAATATTAACCTTTCAGATCTAGACAAGAAGTCATACTTACAGAGAACATTCAGTCTGATACTTGGTAAATAATAAGTACTTGAATGTAACTTTTAATGAATCATTTTATCACACAGTTTTGAATAACAGCATAGAAATAATAACAGTCATGATTAGTAATGACTTCTGAATTTCTATTCTATTTCAGGGATTATTCAAGGTGATTTTTCTATCTGAAATGGTATTTTCGGTGTTGTAAGAATTATTTCCTTATTTTCTGGAATTTATTTTAGGGTTATGATATTGTCATCCAAACGTCATTGTCCAGTATGTCACTCATCTTCTGTGGGTAGGACATAAGCACAATCTTACAATGTTGTGACATAGTACTACCGAAGAAAAAGAAGACTCTTCTTTTCCTTTTCTTTCTTCGGTACTTCTTCTGTTAGTTTGGACCTAGTAATTCTGGTGTTTTTCTTCTGACCAATGAAATAATAGGATTTCATATTTGGCGCTGAATTTTGGCAGGAAGCACTCCTTTAGATAAGATAAGTTTAGATAGGGAATTTTAGGAGGAGATTTCCGGTAGCTATCTCGAGGCTTTTTCTCGGCGACCGTCATGGTGTGCACTTGAGCCAGTTTGAGCATTTTTTCTTTTCTCGGTATAATCCGTAGAAACCCTTCGGGGGATATGAAATTTTTTGAAATTGTTCAAAACATTAGTGATTCTGGCCATGGACCTGTGTAGGATTTGTTCCCACTTTTCGGAGACTGCCAGATGTCCCCAGGAAGCCCTGCAGCCGGTTTTTTCAGCGTATGAAGACTCCAAACTAATAGTTCTTCAAGTCCTTCCTCCCTACTCAGAAGGTAAGTCATATGCAGAGCAATGACTATCAACTTGGTGAGCAATATTTCCCTTCAATATCAGTTTTTTTTCTGTTCTCCACGTGTCTGTTAAGAGGTTATATCAACCTGTTAATTTTTTTAACAGGGTGTTAGGGTATGGCTAAGCTGCCTTCGGCTTCTAGTAGCGAACAGCTGAGGGGATAATCTCTCGACCTTGGTCATGATTCCCAAGAGGACCAGGTCGCTCATTTTATCCTGACCAGAGTCGACAGGTGGCCCAGATCAAGTCCAGTAGTAATCGGTCAAGCTGACCGGCTGAGCCACACCACTGAGCCCTACTGTGGACTGTGGAGGTCCATCAACTTCTTTTTGTTCCTGTCTTCGTGCCTGTCTTCGTCTTCATCTTCACAAGCATGCCTACTCACCATAGTGGACCTTGGATAGGGGTGATAAGACGATTGGAGAGGACCCACCAATAGACCAGGTTTTTTTATTCCATCATATTTTAAATCTGAATTTAATATTTCAACATTTTGATCATAACCATATTTAACATGTATGAAGCTCTTGTGAAGCTCTCCCATAGTACTATGTGACAGCGGTTTCAGGTTTTTTACAGATTATTGTCTAATCAAATTTTTTGAGATTTATACATCCCGTTTTATAGTTGGAATATGATGATTGCTATACCCAAACGCTAGTCATATAAAAAGGTCGTGATTGTCATGGTGTAGGTTGATAAATTTTGGTAACTTATCCAATAATTTTGAATTCCCCTAGAAACAGTCATTTCATGGATATGACATTTTATGGTCATATTACTTTAAGATATTTCATGATAACACATGCTACATATTCTGTCATCTTGGTCTCTACACTGGTCTTCATAAACCCTGTCTATTATGGTGTTAATAAAAAATAGGTCTGAAATTTGATATGGTT